CTTCTTCTTCTTCTTCTTATTCTTCTTCTTCTTGTTCTTGGAATTCTTTGATGCTGGTTTCGGCACTACTGGTTTTGGTGATTCTGGTGTCCCTTGAGTCACCACTGCTGTCGTTATTGGTGCTTCTGGTGTCCCTTGGGGCATCGCTGTTGTTGATTCCGGTGCTTTTGATGCCTCTTCATCCACGCAAAGATTGTTTTCGCAACCACGAGGACACTTTGAGCATGGAGCTCCTGTTTCGTACAACATACTACCCATCATATTGCCGCTGAAATTTTAAATTTCTGATGCGCTAACATTTTCCTTTCTACATAAATCTGTTTTCACTCACGCTGGTTTATAATTGCAGACAACGAAAGACATGGCAGGACAGTCTTGTACGGCACAGCCAATGACTTTCGTAGACTGCCATACCATCTGGAGCAAGAAGTATCAGTGTAAGTTTACTTTTGGGGAATTTAACCAACATTTGAATAATGTCGGCTGAAGTACTGCAGTACTACAAACCTGAGTGTAATGACCAACTCCTCTACCCCACATTGTTTGATCCAATATAAGGTTAGTACCCACACCTTTCTGCGCGAGCTCGCTGAACCACGCTCTCGAAGACTAAACAAGCTTATCTTTTTTTTTCAGAACGAGTCTGTCATGCAACTTACATCTTCGGCGGCCTTCACTTTATCGTAAACGGGACTCCTCATGTAAATGTTTTCTCCGGTGTATGCTCTTGATGCACCGTCCGAATGTTGAAACTGGCATTTAGCTGCGTGAGCAATTGCATACTCTTCAACTTGACAGTCATAGGTCTGCAGCAATGGTTGTTCTACTTTGACGTTTAGTGCTGATAAACAACAATACCAATTTAGGCATGGCCGCAGCTTTTGGAGCATTGCCTCCAAGCCCGTCTTTAGCTTCTCCAGAAGCCACCAACGATCTGTAACACAAATGTTAAGTGATAGATAAACCATTACTCAATAACAAAGCACTAAGTTTGTCTGTCCCTCTCTGCGTACATCAGTATCTCTATCTGCCAGAAAATTCACAGAAAGTTGCAACCAATGTCACGAGCCA